TTTCGCATTCATAACTCATGAATGAAGCCATATGTCCGGCAGAAAGATGTTTAACACCGAGAAAAAAACTCTACGTGAATGTGACGTGCTCGGTTATCTGAAAATAACTACCAACAAAATGATTTTCAAACTAAACAATAAAATCGAGCACAGGCCACATCACACGATATTTTATAGCCTCTTTATTACTTTTTCCGTAAGTACGTTTAATGGCTTCAAACGCTCATAATCCTACGTTTATACGCTGGAGTCCTTTTGCGACCTTTTTCGAAATAAAAACTCATAGACGGATCTTTGAAATATAAATCGTAGCGGAAGCAACTAACAAATTTTAAGCTTTGATAATTGAACCGTCTAACGCAACAAAATCGCTTTCAAATTGTCTGCGCCAATATACAAATATCAGAATCCTTTGTAAAATCTAAACAAATAGATACACCCCGTTAAAATTTGAAAGGTTCCGCTTCCAGTAATTCAATATAACCTGTACCAAGGACCCTTTTAACATAAAAGCATAGGCAGACAGAAACAACATATATTCGTTTCGCTTAACATTTTCGGGACATTTTCATATCGATGTCATATAAAATTGCTTGCTGAGGACACTTTTTAAAAATTGCTCAGATCCCAATTTTGACGATCAGTAATAAACGAAAAACAAACATTGGGGAAACTTGGGGAAGACTCAAATTAATCAGAAATGCGTGATCTTGAGCCGTTATTTATATTCGAGCGAGCCCGATAACAATCTTTTGTTCAAAATACTCTACACTGAGATTAGTAAAATGTCGATATGAGTTGATCTTCCCATATGGATTCTCCCTGTTAGATTACTTTTAAATTAAATATTTTGAAATAATTAATTCGCATGAAGAAATTGCTGTCATTCAGGGTATACATAAAAATTGACAAAAACATTACTCGAACGGACACAAAAATATATTCGTATAGAAGGGGGAGACTAACGTCACTTAATGCGGCTACCCTTTTGTATGTAAAAGTTTAACGAGCGTCCCCATGCATAACAATATCAAGGGTTGAAACCCTTTCCTGGAGTTATTCTTTTACTCGCTTTTACATAATTTAACGTTAAATTAGAGTGCGTATGTGCACAAGTAACGTGCAGTGCATTCATGCTTTACGAATTACATATAAAATTCAAGATCACGGTTGGTTCTTGCAGATATACACTGCCGCTTAATTGCGAACTCATTGACGATACGAGAATGGACGGTAATTGGAAGTGCAATTCGAAGGTTTCAATGGGCAAGTTTATCATTGGTCCAGCAGATACGTTTAAGTACCGATTTATGCTTTTTAAAGTCTTAGCTAATTTTTAACCATGTCAGGTTTTTTTGTTGTTCTTGTTGAGAAGACCATGATAAACTCGACAATATACAGATCTCTCAAAAAACGTATTAAAACCTTATGTTTCTTACTACGTCAACCTGAAGTCATGGCTAACTGGGACTAATTTCTGATGTCAAATATCGAGCACTATTAGGGATTTACTAAAGTATTTAAAAGTTACTAGATCAATGACCACAGTTTTTAATGTTTTTTTTATTGTAATTCTTGTTAATAACGATTATTGTGCATGTGATTTTAAAATCTTAAAAATTTTAATTATACAAATTACAAAAATAATGATAAAGACTTTTTAAGGGCCATTCATTTTTAGTATCATATTAAAACAACAGCACTAATAAATCCTAGTATTCGAACGATATAATGTAACCAAAATTAATATATAAATTAGCGAGTGAATTTGATCGTCGAATATTCGCTTCACCATGGCAAACTTTTTTTTTACAAAGGAAACTTGATGAGAATTAAAAATCCTTTTTAATTAAAAAAATACAGCGGTACAATGTCTGATTAGTTCACATCTAATCCTCTGTAACCATATTTAATTTTAAGAAAATCGTTAGTGTCTTTCAGTAAAATTCACCCAACAAAAAAGAATTTTCAAAATTGAGATATAAACAAACATTCTACAGCAGTAAGCTTGGAAAGCTTAATGCTTGGAAATTAGTATAGTTAGCTATTCTGTAGCCGTTGACAATTTATTCTTAAAAAAATCCCTAATAGCCGTTCTCGATATTCGACATAAAAAATTAGACCCAGTTGGCCATGACTTAAGGTTGATGTAAAAAGAAACATAAGATTTTAGTACGTTTTTGAGAGATGTACCCAAAAAAAAAGTTATCAAAACCAAATCGTAATCAAAGATTTTACACCGATGTACAGCCTTAAGCGGGGCGTAAACGATATTTCAAATACCTTGTAATGAAACATTATAGAAATTGGTATAGTTGAGTTCTAAGTACTCCTGAACAAGAATTCGTTTTTCTTTGTTAAATAGTCCCATTTGGCCATGAGTGAAAGGTAAAGCAATAAGCAACACAAGGTTTAAGTGCATTTTTCAAAAATCTAAAAAAAATTAAAATCTATCGATAAACAAATATTTCGCAAGGGTGTACAGTTCTTAAATAGGACACACTGTATATTAACGGGACGTGTCCGCAACCATTAAAAAGCAACCCTTAATTCCCTAAAGACGCAGGAAACAATCGATTTGGGTCCAGCGCTATTCTTTTGTTTGACCGGCGGCTCTCTCGTTGTCACGGTAACCGGACGGGCCGTCGGTAAACAAAACCTCGAACGATCGGGCGACAGATCGGACGACAATCGCAATCAACGTTATTTACGCCACGGAATTGTCATTCATGAGACGACGAAATAATGGAACCTTATAATTCCACAACTGTCACGGACCGTCTGTAATGCCCGCAGGCATCACGGGAAGAATTGGAAATGCAAATGGAAGATAATTTAATGCAGAGCGGAGAATTTCTGCCGGAGGAAACTAAACCATCGATGATATTTATGTATACCTACTTAAAAGATAGAAAAATTCTATTCGTCACTTAGCCCAAAAGGCATAATATTAATTGGGAATTTTCGAAGTTGTAGAAAATTAAGTCAGTCGCGTATTTTAGGTATTTGAATACTTTTGCTTCAAAAACTTCCGAGTTTCAACATTCTTATCTGCGGTAAAAGAAAGAATGGAGACCCTAAACTTCACCTCAACGTTATCTTTCTCTCTCTCTCGGATACTACTACAACAAGTAATGAATTTAACATAAAGTAGCAAATAGCAACACTAATTATTGTTTTAGAACTAAAGTTTAAGGCTTCTTTGGAACAATACATAACATATACCGAACATTAGTAAAATAGAGATTTAAATATTAGTAAATATTGTACACAGAGTAAGAACTAATTCTACCTATAGTGAGTTTGTTATCGAAAATTGAATTAAATGGTTATGTGACATAACGATCACGTTCACGACATAATAAAAAATCTACGGAACAGGCCAATATTAGCTCTGAATTTCACTGAACATTTGAAAGTTGGCGGAAAAAATATTTTCTGAACGCGCGGAACGAAATTTGTACTTCCGATAATAGTGTATAAAACAACATGGTCTCAGAAGCCATCTGCTAATTTATTCAATTCATGTAGTTAACTCATTGCATTTAATTTGTTTAGGAGAGTGGAATGACATCGGGATGACGTAATTTAATGAATACTAATTCATGGTTATAATAGAGATAAAATCTGCTTGTTATCTAGGAAATAGCATAATTTGGGATGCGCGTTAATATATAACGCCACGCGTATTCATAAGTGTGTAATATTTTCTTTACTACCACACTTTTAGTGATTGTTCAGCCCTAATGGCCACTTCTTGTAACCCGAAGGCTTTTCGCGCCAACATGGGTGTCGAATCCTAACGCATTTGTCTAGCCTCGGGGCTGCGATTCAAATAAAAGGGGCGAATAAACTGAAAAGGGCTGGAGTTCCCAAGGGACCCCTCTAACGTCCAGTCCAATTCATAACGACTATATGATATTACTTGTCATAATAATTAAAACTCAACTCGTTCTGTTGATCACTATATATGCAACGAACAAATCCGAAAGAAAAATACGCAATATAAATTGTATAAAGTACTAATTTAAATACGATGACGGAAAGTAAAAAAACCAATACTTTCATTGAACTCATTCCCAACTGCTATAGCTGATACCTTAATTAACTAATTCATTTTTTCATCTATGCATTTTTACCGGTAAAATTTCAAATCTTCGTCGCAAAAAAAATTGAAACAATTAAAAGACTCAAAATGCATGGACCAATTGTTCTTTGGTGGGAATGTATTTTTTTCGGTTGAAATATTATGTATTTAATATTGCGATAAATATTTTCATTAAATTTTTGTTATATATATATTTTTTTGTGTAATATTATAAAACAACGGAAACATCTCTCATTTAACGAATACTTTATGGCAACGAAAGGGACATAAAAAATAGGCAAAATAAAATAAATAAGAACTAAAACTTCAGATTTTCACGAAATTATATATTTTCACATGGCAATTGTTTCGAGAACACCGCGTCTTTATCAAATCATATTTGATAAAGACACGGTGTTGAAACAATTGCCATGTGAAAATATATGTGAAAATTATTTTCTTAAATAGATTTTCAAGTAAAAACCACCTCAGTTCAATTTTTAAAAAATAGGTATTTTCCAAAAATCAAATAATAAAACATATTCAAAAACAAGTCCCTTCGTCGAAGTATTTTATTTTGTGTTCCGAATTAGCCTCCAAATTAACGCAACTGTCATTTATAAGGCTCATTATTATAAGACGTGTCTCAAACAGAGTGGTAAATATTGGTTCTTGTAAAAACACAGTCTGTAGTCTTTCTCCCTGTTTTGGTTCAAATTGATTTCTTTGTAAGAACTTTACGAATTTGAAATGCGGTTTTCGTCGGAGTTATTTAATATGTTTTTTTTTTTCATATTTGTCAAGGAAGGTGCCCCAATTTAACCTTATTGTAATTTTTAATACTCATTATTATAAGTGGTCTGTCAAAAACAACGGGAAACTGTGCGTCGTTCGACATGAACTATATTCTTACCTGTCTCTCCCGGTGGAGTAGGGGTCTCTTCCCTAAGCGACGGCGATCTACGATCCTGGCTGAAATCTTCTGTTTCTATTTTGTCAGGTTTGATAATAATTTCGGAATCGGTTTCTAGTGCAGCCTTTTCCAAATGCTCCAGGAACGGGTTGTACGATTCCTCCAGTGGATTATTATTGGACAGTCCATCGTTAAACGACTTTGTCTTCTCGATCGGGGAGAGAATTGGTTCATCGATAGCGTCCACGTCTGTTTCGGGTCCAAAGTCGTCATCGTCGAATTCCGACGCTGATCGTTTGCCATTCGAATTTTCTGTACGCAATATGTCTGCAGCATGATCAGTTCCTGCAAAAATATACTTGAAATCAGTTAACTAATACGAAATCTACTCTTTAAAACTCAAATCAAAATGATCACTCGTAAAAAAAAAAAAAACAAAGAAACCTTTTGAAAATTACCAAAATTTTGAATATTTCCGCAACTTTTGAAGTTGTAGAAGTGATTTCAAGATAAATTGCGTTTTGAGTGGATAGTGATTTTACAAGATAAAAACGGCATTTGACAAACAATTTTTGAATCCACCGTTATTGAGTTGCCAACGTACATTTCGCCCTGTATTTTTTCCTGTCATAAAATAGTGCAAATATTTACTCTGTGTTTTGCTGGACAGAAACAACATTTCATTAGATGCAAAAACTAATACAAATACAACCGTACAACATAGCTTATTAAAAGTCATGTTAATTTTTTATGGTCACGAGAGATTATCGAGATTTACCTTGAATCATCCTGGGACTTCTAAAGTTGAGGAAATATTTTATAAAAAAACTCCAATAACACCAAAGTTAGAAACGTATATCTTAAATTGTTCTTACTGTATATTGCGTAATTTTTGAAACAAGTTCAACATTCCAGAATCCAAAATGTACTAATGGAGCAATTATATTCCGATTACAAAAAATATATTTCAGTGCCGTATGGAAAGTATCTAAATTTTGAGGCGGAAACTAACTGCTCTATTGCACTTTTTAAAATTGATATTACTTCCGGTCAAAACCGAAAGTTCAAAGTTTGATTTCGTTAATAAAATCTCATAGATTAAGTTGCCAAATTTTGGCACACACTATATCAAAAAAAAATTATTAATTTCCACATAAAATGTACATCTAATGAAACAAATGGCGCTTAAGTTTCGCATGGAGACTGTTAAATGAAAAAATGAACAACGGGCATTAAGGTTTACAAATAACTGTCATCGGTGCGACAGGTTGGTGGAGAAAGTTGAATTTATCTCTAATATAATCAGTGTGAGAAACAGATCGACCGCCTTAAATAAACGGAGACTTGCTTGCACAAAAACTATCGAAAACTAGTGCAACTCATGATTCAATTTGATGACGAGCCTGTTATGGATCGGAACATTTCGCCATTAATGTCGAATTAATTTCCATAATTAAGTGCATGCAGCATATTTGAGAACACAGACCGAATGAGTTGCAATAAATATGACTAATTGCGATAATTATGCTTAAATTGATTTCAATTCTTTTTTCAAGAACTGAACTTTCAGGATTTTTTTGCAATAACAAATAAATATATAAAATAAGGTTAAAATACTGCAGAAAATCAAGATTGTTCGACTTTTTTGTAGAAAACTAATAAAAATTATCGATATTTACAAAAAAAAAACCTAATTTTATATAAAAAAATATATTTATTTATTTCTATTTATTTATGTTATAACAAATAAATAAAATAATAATAAAAGATCTCCGGAGATTGTTACTAAATAGTATTTCAGTTATTTGATTTTATTACAATTCAAAGAGGCACTGATTAAAAAAAAAGATAATTAAGTTAACTCTTTTAATTGTAATAAAATCAGCTAAACTTTACTTGGTCTTGAAATGTTAAAACCATATTATATTAACTTTGCATCAACTTAGACGACACACTAAAGATTTTCTTTGAAATCGAGTGTTTAACACAAAGTTAAACGAAAACACTTTATTAAAGAATTCAGTCTAATCCATCTAAGTAGTTTGATTCATATTTAATTAAATTAGGATTTATAAAAGCTAGGTTAAAATATTTACAAAAAAAACCTAATTTTATATATAAAAAATATAGAATAGAATAGAAATAAATAAAAATATTTATTTATTTCTATTTATTTATATTGTGCGTTACGTCGCCGTCGCGTCATTCTGAGAACCAAATGGAGTCGATATTATTATTGGGAGTCCCCGAATCGCTAAGTATCGTATTCGTATATTCCTTGAAGAGTGTTATGTGTAAATTGGGCATTACATAAGCATAATAATTTATTATAAAATACATATTATTATTAAATGATAGATAACACTCTACAATTGCGAGACGTTATTTAAAACATTTCTTGACTAGTCAATTTAGAAGTGGTCAATTGCCCAGCAACAGCACTAGTGGCGACAATGATATTCAAGTTTTGACGTTTATGTTAATTAATTAAGTTTTCAGATTTTGAAAGTATGTTAGGGACCGTATAAGAAGCATGTATTGTTCAATACGTTAAAATAATTTTAATTTAAAATTTTAAGCAAAATAATTTAGATTGAAATATCAAAAATCAAAAATAACATAAATGACCAAAATATTAAAAATTACATCTTTTTCGTGGTCAATTGAAAGTGCCCAAACTTGACAAGTTACAACCGAGTGGCTTGCATAAAATTTCTGCCAGATATAATTTGAAATATGCTTAACTTGGTTAATATTTAATTATTTAATAGTCAAAACATTTATTATTTAGAAAAATGAACTAGTTAACACGGACTAACAGACAAAACAAAACAAATTCTTAGTACTATTTTAAGAGACATAATGTAATTTACAAGTACAGAGGATAAAGTGAGTTTTATCCAATGACGTTCCTTTTTTTTTAATATACTTAAATATACTTTAATCTATATTACCTGTGAAAACTGAGGAGAGGATGTTCGTAAAAAATTATCCCACACATTAAGCAGCATAAAACAAAAGTGGCATTTAAAAATTCGAAACATAATCACTTCTATAAGAAGCGCAAAGTCGCCAATTTAAACATAAATATTCGAACGCGAGGTTAAAAATTTTTAAGACATCGTCGAAACATATTAGAATGAAACCTCAAATCGGATAAGTCAAAATAAAAGTTTATTGGTTATATGACAGCGTTATCAAACTTACCATTCGATTTATAATTGTCTGTGATATTTAGCAGCAGGCTTTCGTTTTGCTTCTGCAAATGGATATTATCGTTGGCGACGGCGCCATTCGAATTCGTGAAGGGGTTGTTCGCGTTATCGACACCGGTATCCATTGTGTTAAATGGTGGACCGTTGCGGTTTGCCCAACGATGGGCTTCCGCTGCGATCTTCGATGGTTCCTTTAGGAACACCACAATCACCGAAATGTTATCGCTAGAACCTCTATACTGGGCCCACCGGGCTAGCCGCTTGCTGACCCTTTCTATGTTCTCTGCAACGAGAAAAAACATACAAATTAAACCAAAAAAAAGTATTACAAACTTGGTGTGAAACAAACAATTTCAAATTTTAAGGCAATAAATGTAGAGTAACTTAAAAAACTTTAGATATATTACAACTTTTACTTTGATTCGGACTGGGGCCACATTTTTAATTTGAGATAATTATCCCATTGCGGCGTTATAAATGATAATCTTTTTTACAAAAGTACCTTGCTACTGAACAATAGCAAAAAAACAATTTTATTTAATAAATATTCAGTTCCTTCCTACGCCACTGGTTATTCCATATGATGAAAGTTTTTCATACAATTGCACCTTTGTTACACAAGTATTTAGTACATTTGCAGTGTAGAATAAGAAAAAAGTCTTAAAAAAAAAACGTCTACCGGAAGTACAGTCACATCCACCTTTGTTCACCTAGTTTCAGGTGCATTGTCTTAATCGGGCAAAATATTCTCTTCTAGTACTTGGTATTGGTAATTGAAAATTGAATCGAAAATACATAAAAAATGCAGTGAATGCAAATGAAATATAATATATGGCAGAAAAATACGTATATGCTGCTAGCGACTGTAAAGATGGTTGGATTCCAAATGGGCTTTCTCTGTCTGCGAAAAATATTAAAGATTCTTCTCTGGATTACCCTGAAGACACCACCGCTGATTTATTTGAAGGTTGTTTTAAAAACAAATTAGTTCCAAACATTCCACCTAATAGCGTAATTGTAATGGACAATACAAGTTATCACAGTGGACAGTTGACTAAAACCCCTTCCTCATGTGACACAAAACCAACAATCCAAAACTACAAGTATAATAACGACATTTATCTTCACGAAGATTATACCAAAAAGCAATTAACTGAGGTTCTACAAAGCTTGAACCTACAAAAGGAATACGTCTGTGATAATTATGCAAAAAATCTACTCATTGAACATGTTTGGCACCAACTGAAATTTGCCATTGGTCGTAACAATGTTTTCCCCGTGTTAACTCCAATGCCCTCAAACTTATAGAAACCGAAGTTTTTAACATCCCTCAACAAAGTTGGGCAAATTCTGTTAAACATATAGAAAAAACCGAACAATCGTATATCCATATTGCAAATAATATAGAACAAATAATAATTAGAACACGCGATGATAGGGATAGTGATACTGATATATTATGTGAATAATTTTAAGTAATTTAAGTAGGTAATAAAAATAATTTGTAATTTTATTTTAGATTTAAACATAAATACATACATAAATAAATGAATATTGTTTAGTATCTTTCCTAACAAAACCCCAAATAATTAAATTCTAAGCAAAGTACGGACCTGTTGAGCCATATTTCATTCTTACAGATTGCCCGGGTCTTTCCTTAATTCGTATTAGTTAGTCACTTTCTCATATCTATGAACAGACTTTACCTACACCATTGATTTGTCAATGTTTTTAGTAATTGAATTTTAATTTTCTGCGGTCCAGCGTCGGTAAAGAAAACTTAAATTAAAAAATAGCGGTAACCGTAACATTTAAAATGGCTAAATATTTTTTCTATTCAACGGCTTTGAGCGAAATTGAAAATTTTTATAAAGTCTCCTCCTTTATAACTACACGCTGCTTGTCAGCTGTAAAGAAGTTCCGTCTTCGTATATAACTGACCAAAACTAATCTAATATGCACACCTCATATAAAAAAACGTAGAAAAGAAATCCTTTAATGAACACAGTCTGTATACCGTACGAATCGTAATAATTACAGTTTTATTGAAATCATACTTTGTAATAAACGAACCCAGCAATAAGTATTGCATCAACGAATGGAAATTTTCGTTATGCACAGCCGTTCATTGATCTAGCGAAATTATTGGACGGCTTGCCGTCAACGTTAACATTAATAAACAATTGTTGTTCTTCGGATCGTCCAAGCACGTCTTAGTTCGCACTCTTTTTTCTACGTATTCGGTCACGGCACCAACATGCCAGTGAACTAGAGCAAGACTGCATAATAAAATAGAAAATGACGAAAGCATTGTGTTATATTTAAAGAGAAAAAAATTAATGACGTGTGACTTTGTATAAAACGAAATTACTTTTATAATATCGAAGAATAGAAAACTGGAGCAAGCCCGGTTAGGACGTTAATAGTAATAATTTTATTACGGAATTCGAGCAGCTGCACAATAGTTTTTCATATATTAACAGCCCGTGATATCCCCAGTAAACATATAACATTTGCGCTTGAAATAAGGGGGTGCGTGGAATCTTTGTGCAATATATAAGTCTATCCGTAGATATTATAATATGTAAAATGGAAAAACAAGCTACAGCGATATCCGGGTTAGTAAACAATCAGTAATAAAACTAAAAATAAACAAGAATTTAGAAAGACAAAAACAAAAAAATAATAGAGTTAAGTTATCATCCTTATTTTCACCTGAAGTCATGTTCGAAGTTATGGATGGTGTCGTTAACACTTTTCTTGCTATAATGCACATATTCGTTACAACTGAAGTTACGAAATTATTTTTTAAGTTGGTCTTCCATTATAAATTTTAGTTAAATATATAACAAATAAAATTATATAAATTATTACAGAACGCTTTTATGATTAGACATTTTGCCACGCGATGTGAACAAAGTAGGTATAGCCATTAAGAGGTCCATGAATATCCAAAACTTTATTTTTAACAATTGCATCGAACAATTACAAATAATTTTTAAACATATTTAAGGACTTTACAGAATAGGCCCCCTTTAGGAGGAAACTTCTTTTTCTAAAGGAAATAGACTAATGTCGGTGTCATAATGACAAAAATCGATATCTGTTACCGTTTCAAAGTGCCATTTGAAAAATGTACATTTTTAAAAACTTTGTTGAAATGGAAAATAACATAATTTCACAAGCGCTTATTTTCTTATAATCTAATAGTTTAAGTATCCATCAAAAAAGTCATACTAAATATTTTCTGTTAATACATGAGAGATTTTGATTTGTGTGAGTATTAATTAGGAACAAACGCTCTAATTACACCGATAACTAGTTCTATATTAAATAAACGATAAACTCCGGGTAATTGCTTGCCTGGAATTGTACACTGGTCGAATAGCGATAAAAAAATAATTGCATTTTGGAAAAAAGTATATTACAGAGCCTACAGAGTTTTGGTAAAATATGATATTCACTGGCGAAACAAAAATTAATATTTTAGAATACATGTGGAGAAAAACGAAAACAGCATTCAAACCGAAGTATCTCCGATCAACCATTAAGCATGGATGTCGTAATTTGGGAATACATGTCAGCATCTGGCTTTTTCAAATATCATTACGGGTCACATGCTGAGGGAACAATAGACGCCTAGTATATAAAAATTGGCCGTTGCATGTTTCAACAGAATAATTATCCGAAACATATGGCTAAAGTCTTGTAGGAATGGTAAATATATTTAACCTTCGGCAGCTACTGCGGCATAAGATATGAACCCGATAGTGCCTCTGTGCGATAAGTTAGAGCGACGTGTGGGCATAGCCAATTTTTCAAGGAAAAATTTAAGGCCAGGTTTACAGAAGAATGGAATAATATTCCAAGATAAGACATCATAAAATATATAGTTTGCTATTAAACGGGCTACAAGGTACGCCTCAAAATATGAAATTCTCAAAATATATTTTACAAACACAAATATTTATTATAATATTTTAAATGTCCGAAACTTTTTTTAATATGGTTTTGTGTACGTTTCGAGAAGAAATTTAAATGACTTTAAAAAAAAATTGATATTTTAAATATCGGAAACGACTCAGTACTCATTTTAGCTGCAATCCGCGTCATTGATTTTTAAGCTCCACTCAATTAGGAGTTTTGAGGCGACTAAAAGAACGAACGATCGAGAATATTGGCTTGTTTTCTATTCCGCGGCGATATCTATATAAGGCAAAAGATTCAAAAAATTTCATTAAAATAGCGACTCATTTCCTATTACCGGAACGCGATTAGATTAAAGATCGTTTGTTAAAATGGATTACGCGCGCAAGTTTTTGTACCCCTTTGGAAATATTTGTCATTTCAGATAATGAGCAATTATCTTTAACGATCAATACTTTAGCAGATTAATGTACATTTTTATACAAATATGGAGTTAACTGCCGATTAAACATTTTCTTTTCCATTAATTTAAAAAGCGGTAGGAATATTATCGCAACCTATTTTGTTTGCCCTTGCTTGTGTTATTCTAAATATCAAATAATTGTTTTCTATAAGCGCGCCTGTTTTTAACCCTCATCACGACCAGTTTACAGTAAATCGTATTACTGATAAAACCAAATCAGAAATGAAAATACATATTTTTTTATTTTTTGTAGGTTCCTCGAATTAAAATCCGAAATACATGAGACCAATCAGGCTTCTACTTCGTTCAAGCGAACATTCTTCCATTAGATTTGGTGGGTATGTGACTTATTTTACCTATAATTATTGAAAAAGTAACAACTCGAAACTTCTTTAAAATTAGGAATTTTAAAAAACAATAAAAAAAAAATATCTCAAAAAAGAAAATTTTTAATAGCGTAATAGATAAGAAGCAACAAATTATTTTTAAGGATACATTTGAATTTCGCTATTTCTATTCAATAGGCAATTTATAACGAAAAGATCAGCCGCAGGGGGAAACCCACTCCAGAAAAGGAGGAATTCAGAGAGGAATAAACGTAGGAATCGTACTACTGTTCCAACAAACCAAAGTAATCCTGATGGGCGCAGTCCCCTTATAACAAGGGAATAAACAGCAATTTTTTTAAAACGTAATTCACTTGTATCGGAATATGAGAATCTAGTCAACAACACTCTTCTGCTGGATTCTACTTTCATTAAAACCGACCAATCATCTCAGTTTTACGTTCATTTTATATTAATTTCTGAATACAATTTAATTTGATCACCAGTCGTTTTAATCGCTTTTCTTACAGTCTCAGATGACGTATTAGAAAGACTAGACACGGTGTG